TAAGTATATTTCCCAAATGAACCTCAAATCCTTTGTGGAATAGGTGAAATACAGAAACATAAGCTACTATACATAAACACTGACTATATCTACGTACACTCAGATATTCTTTGAAAGAGTCAAAATCATATTTCTTACTGCTAATTTCATTTTTATCTACTGCAATGAAAACTACGTTAAATTTTTACAGCATATGCTATTTGTTAAATTTCCACTGGCTATATCATCTATTCTCTATGCTACAAAAAAATTCTATAGTAATTTATTGACAAATAAAAGTGTGGAGCAAATGTATTACATATTTGACACTAATGGAACTATTATTCCCTTTTCACCACACAAACTCATCCCAGGAACTCCACCATCTGAATTCTAGGGTTTCCAGGAGCTTACCCTTGTTAATTACATTCACAAATTGTGCCCCCATCTGTGCCTTTAATATAGATTTAGAAAAACATAGCTCTATTATAAATCTTCAAAACATGACTTCTTATTTTCTTTATGTAAAATGCTATGAGCAAAGGAGAAATACTTTCAAAATGATGGAGTTAATTCATCCATTTGTTCATCTATTTTAAAATATGTATAAAGGTTACTAGGCATTAGGAATAACAAGAGGAAATGTCTCCTGTCCTCAGAGTGACCACAGTTCCTTGGGGGCAAAGGAAACCTCTAAAGTGTCAACTAAAATTGATGTGATCTATGGGAAGTAGAGGAAGAAACCAGCCTGGTTAAGTGAGGGAAGCCTGTGCAATTTCAGATAGAATAATTGTAAAGTGATCCTAATAGTATGAAGCGGTTTTACTTGAATAAAACAGAGGGACGACCCTCTCTGTTAAAATTCTAGTTTTACAAAACAAACAGAAAGGTAAACGAGGTTATTTATAGTAGTGCTCTGAAGGACAGCCTTATTCCGAGTGTTCCATACTGACTTGCACTTCAACTCCTGTCTTCAAGGCTCTCTGGGGAGGGGGGTGCTCACCGTGACCGGGGGATGCCCCCAGATGAGGGACCACCCAGCTCCTCCATCTTCCTTGGGGAAGCCTGGCCTTCACCTCAGAATCGCACACTGTTCAGAGACTTTGTGCTCATTAACTTCTTAATCTGGTCCATTCTAATAATGCAAAGCTGTTTTACTTAATTACTATTCTGAAAGTCCAGTTAAGAATTTAATCATTTCTAATCAAATCACTTAAATACTAGTGGGACTAACCATGGTGCAGCACTTAGGAATTACTTGGTCTCTCTCTGTAGGAATATTATTTAGTCAGAATTGGACATGTCCTTTCTCTCAGCCAGTCCTCCTCTTAAACGACAATGGTTTTAAAATTCCAATTTTATGAGGTAGTTTACCACTCTGCACTGGCATTATAAGAGTCATTTTCTAAATTAAGTGTCTGAGGTCTTTTCCATGCCTCTCAACTCGGAGACTCAGAGTTAGAGCTAATGGGTAGATGTAAGATTGTATACTGGATATTTCGGAGAGACAGTCCTCCAAGATTTCTATTAAAGTGCACCTGTTTCTTTTGACAACTGGAATTGCCCTCCTCTACTTCTGACAAGTACTACACCCTATTAATTTTATATATTTAAAAAAAATTTTTTTCCTATACTGAATGTTAGCTGGAAGGTAGGAAACTTGCTCGTGATTTAGGAAAAGGAGACATTCTAGTCCTATTCAGTGCTCTATAACATGTCCTAAAATTTCCATCTCTTTATCTATCTGCCTTTCTATCTACCTACCTATTTATCTATTTTTTTCCTTTTCCTCCTTCTTCTCCTCTTCCTCCTTCTTGTCTCTTTCTCTCTCTCTGTCTCTCTCTCTCTCTCTCTGTCTCTTTCTCACACACACACACACTCCTCATGTATATCTGGGGAAGATGCTGATGATATTGCTATTCTTTAGAATCCCTAAGTCTGTAGAGATGTCAATCTTTAAAAGACAGTGTGTGATCTCTTCTTTTAGAACCTGTTACCCTTCTGGGAAAACAAGATACTTGCTGTTTACCAGCGATGAGATGTCCCAAGAGCTACTAAAACCTAACTACTGTATTTTTTCTTGAGAAATTTAATCATCAACACAATTTCTAATTAAAACCCTGTAAGTTGTCCTCCATTTTATATTACAAAAATGTTCAAAGCCAATAAATTGAAGTCACAAGTGCTCCACTCTCAGAGTTATTAAACATAAAAACTCTTTTATGTCCCCGAAGAGTCTGCTGAATTCATTGTACTAAGTACTTGCTTGCATTCCTGGAAATTAAGGGCAAAATTGTGTGAATTGGTGGGTGTGGATTTATGTGTCTAAGTCCATTTATCTGGTAGAAAACTGATCCTGTCTTTATTTAAAATCTTAATATCTTGTTCATCATGTATTTTGCATCACTTTTGAGTTTTTAAAATATTGCATTAAATATTTTTCACCTCGATGACTGAATTTTTTTGGTGCACCCCTAAATTTTGTATCCAATGTAACAGCCTCACTTGCCACCCTGTCCCAGTCCTGGCAAGACAACCTGATGTTAGTTTAAGCTCTGAAGTGAGGACTTCACTCTTGTTTTTCTTTTTCTTTGTTTTTTTACATAGTAAGTAGTGTTAAGGGTAAGAACAAGATAAATCGCCACTAACAGAGAAATATCTATAGAGACATAAAATGTGTCCTTCCTTTTACGTGCAAAATATCCAAACCCTGGTTTATTCTGAGCCATCTCAGTTTTTTGGTGTAGATTTAAGATTAACCACATTAAAAATATTGATAAAAGTAGCAGATTGTGATAAAATATAAATGAAGCGAGTCAGTGCATTAAGGGCATAGTCCAGCTTTATCGCACACTGTCCACATGATCCCAACGTCTTTAAACCTCAGCCATGCCGTCCCCTTGTGGGGACAATACATATCAATTTTGTGAAGAAGCTTTTCATCCACGATAAAATAAAAGCAAGCGTAATGAGGCAGAAAGTGTGGACTAGGTTATATTTAAGAAAAGAATATGCGTACGTTACAATCTGTGATGTATGAAGTTCTATAGGTATTAGTCATTAGTTTTTCAGTTTTCACACCAGAGGTAAAACCTGGAGGCGTGGCTGTGCCCTCGTCAGGGGCGTGGGGTGTGGACTGTACTCTCTGAATTACTCCAAGCTCACTCAGCCTGGCCACCCAAGGATCCCCGCATGAGACCACCTGCTTGCTTTTTGTTTCTTGTCTCCATGGCTCAGTGCTTTACTGCCAGAGAGACATGTGATTCCTCCTTTTCTTTTTCTGCTTCATGGAGACAACTGCCAGTGACAGAAACCCAGGAAAACTTAGCACAAAGTAAAAAACCGAGTCTAAAACTCCCAGAGGGGAACTTTTTAAAAGGCCGTTAAGTTTCCTAAATGATGACATAAGTGTGAAAAACCTCATAGGTTGGTGCTTTCCGTTTCCTGACATGTAATAATAATAATAATGATCACAGCCAGTGAACGACACCGACAAATGACACTCCGGTCGTCTCTCTTAGTTCTAAGCTCATTCACATGTATCGTCTCAACTTTGTCCTCACAACGAATTTGTCAGATTTCCATCTCAACGTCCTCATGCGAGTGAGGATAAAGTCAAAAAACTTACAGAGAGGCTGTGACTTAACTCGAGATCACCAAAAAGAAATCTGAATTTAAGTTCCCTGTATCTTAGTCTTTTTCTAGTCCAACCACACCTCGCTGTTTTACTTAAAAATACGTTCATTTAAGTAACTGCTTCAGTAAAATCAAACGCTACAATACTAGGAACCTTTGTAGGACAGGTTAGACATTGCTCTAAACACTTACCTACGTTATGGTTTGGTCTGACCATCACAAATTCCGTGCACAGCGGGCATCGTTCTGGAGGTGTAACCTGCACACACCTGACATTAGCGTCAGGGGTACACGGTAATGACTCGACGTCTGTATACACTGTGAAATCACCACCAGAATAATAACGTCTGTCACGACACACAGGTGCACTTTTCTCCCTGCGGTGAGACCGTTTTTCACTCGGTGTTACTGAGAAGTAACTGACCTCCGCCACTGCGTTAAGTCTACGGTGTGTGCAGCACGATGGTTTGATTTAATGGTGAGAACCTCTCCGCAGAGTTCAAATACTATGCAGCACAGTACTGCTACCCGTGGTCACTGTGCGGGACATCACATCCCAGGGCTTATTTCTGTCACAACTAGAAGTTTGCACCTTCTGACCCCTTTTCCCCCATCTCCTCCACGCCCCGCCCCCGCCTCTGGCGACCACCACTCCGTTCTCTGCGTCTAGGAGCTGGTTTTCTGTCTGTGGCCTGGATCCCACGGAGAAGAGAGGCCGTGTGCTGTTTGTCCTCGTCTGGCTACTTTCACCCACCCTACAGCCCTCCAGGTCCATCCGCCATCACAAGATGGCGGCACGCCCTCCTTTTTCACGGCCGAGTGGTACCCATCGTGCGCGCGTGAGCGCCCCTCCTCTGTACCGGCTCTGCTCACAGACACGCAGGGGCCCCCGCCGGGGCTACTGTGAAGAGCGCAGCTGCAGGCCCCTGGCTGAGTCGGTGCTGACCCTGAGGCTTTGCCCAGCCCTGTCGGTGGCCCCAGGGGCACAGTCTTGTGAGCACCAGACTCCGGCTGACCCTCAGGCGGCAGCTCTGCACGGAGGCAAATGTAGGCAGTCCCGTGGGACCTCAAGCCTCAGCCCTTTCAGCCACCAGGGCCCGGCCGTGTACCCCGGCAGCAGTTAAAACTGGGGCCACAGCCTCTGACGTAAAACCGGATCAGCGACATAAATCCGGGATCACTGACAGAAAACCGGGGTCACTGACGTAAAGTTGGGCCCTCAGATGTAAAGCCCGGGCCTCAGCCGTAAAGCGGGGGCCACAGACGTAAAACTGGGGTCACTGACGTAAAACCGGGGCCTCAGACGTAAAGCCAGGGCCTCGGACGTGAAGCCGGGGTGCAGACGCCTGTCAAGCCCAGGCGGAGTCCCTGGCGCGCTGGGCGGCGCGGGCGGCGCAAGTGGCCCGTCTCTGACCCCGAGAACACGAGGCCGCCCGCCCTGTGCGCCTCAGGCCACCGCCCCGCCCCTCCGGCGGCTCCGGGGCCCCATCGCCGCGCAGTAGCCGGCAGGTGAGTCCCCAGGCCAATGAGAGCGGCTCCCGGGGCTCTTGTGGGCCCGGCCCTGGCGGTTCTCAGAGCCAGGGGTTCTGGGGCTGGACGCGGGAGGAGGTCTTAGAAGCCGGGGTGCCGCGTGTGGGGTTCAAACCCTGCTCTTCAGAGAGCCGCCCAGGGTTACGGCGAGCCCGCGTCCCAGAGTAGGCAGCGCTCAGCCGGGTTTCCGGGGTTTTCAGAGGAAGTGGTTCCAAGTGTAGCTGTAGAGCCCGTATTTGCGGGGTGCGGGGGAGCGAGTTCAGCATCCTCCTCGGTCCCCATCCTGAACGTGAACCCCGTGGTTCCCATTTCCCCGACTTTACAGATCAGGAAACCAAAGCCCAGAGAAATTACGATTTTTGCTGTCTTCCTTCGCATATTGCCTATTAATTTCTCATTGCTTCTGTAACAAACTACCACAAATTCAGTGGCTTAAAACAACGTAAATTTATTATCCTACAGTTTTAGGGATCAGAAGTCTGGAGTCAGGGTGCTGGCAGGACTTTGTTCCCTCGGGAAGCTTCAGAGAGCGTGCGCAGACTTCCTTGCCTTTTCCGGCCCTGGAGCCACCCTGCATTCCTTATCTCGTGCCCCTTGCCCTGTCTTCCCCACACTGCGTCTCTCTGACAGTCCTCTTCTGTAGTCGGATCTCCCTTTGCCCTGAAGGACAGTTGCCATTCTGCTGGGTCCGCCTGGCTAATCCAGGGCTCTGCCATCTCAATAGCCTTAACTGAATCACATCTTCACTTTTACCACGTAACATATTGTATTCACAGGTTCCAGGGATTTGGATGTCTGTGTCTTTGGGGGGCCATTACTTCGCCTGCCACGTGGTGAGTACTACATTTAAGCAAACTGCTTTCTAATATCATTATGCTATACTAATAAATAAATTGTTAATTTAATATTCTAAAATTAGAGTCACATATGTTTCCGCTTACTAAAGTGGCAAATGGTATTTTACCTTGGAAGATACAGTTACAAGGAAATATTTCAGTTTCTCATATAATTAGACTATTTTCCTTGGAAATCAAATCAGGACTTGCCAGTTGTTGAAATGGGCTATCACCAGAACCGTTTAATTTCTCAATAATTTAAAATTATGTGGCGAACTAACATGTGCTTAAAGATCCTGAGTCTGATTAAACAATTTGTTACGATCCCTTTTCTCACGCTTTCCTGAGGATACAGATAGATGGTCAGTTATTTTCTGCAACATTTCTCCTCTGATAAGGGATATATTTGGGAAGCATCTCTCAGGATTAATGTTGAAAGTGTTGCTTATTTATTCTAAGTATTCTGCACCTATTTCTAACAAAACACTTTCCTTTGGATTCTGTGTCAGTTTTATCTTGTTCAGTGTACTTGAAAATTGCCAGGTAAGTCCAGCAACTTCATTAGCCTTCATCCTCCTCCTTAAGAGTAACAAAAGGAAGGATTCTTACTTAATTTGGGGAGTACCCTTCGGGGAATTTCGTTGACTAGGATATTATGTAAGTGGGTGAAAGATATTACATGAAGATTGGCCATTGCCCAACTGTAGAAAATAAGTTCATTGTAAGACTGCCTTAAGGCCTTCACAAGAAAACTACTAGGTACCTATAACCATAGAGTGTGTGTCATGTCAGAGAATCTCATAGCTGAGATTCGTTTGTTTGGTTTTTTTCCTTGAAATCTGCACTCCCTACCCCCAGAATGAAGTCTGTACTTGTCGGTGAGGCATCCAGGGTCATTCTCAGTAGGTTTTCAAAATATATTGGATTTAGGAGTCAAATCACTTGCCTCCTCCCCATGCCCCCAGCACCCCTCACCCCTGCTCCAGGGCCTTCATTTATAAGTAATAATGCTTAGGAAGCAATAAGCATGCCAGTTACCTTTTGCACTGTGTCACAGGTGGTTTGTCTAATTGATTGTTTCTACATCATTAGATACAGGCTAACCATGTCTTGTGTTTTTTTACTGTGTCTATTATGTTATATGGGGTTTTGTTTGTTTGTATCTCTATGTGGTCTATTTCTTTGCTCCCTTGTATGAATTTATTTCGCTGTCTTGAGTGTTAGGAGGTCTCCAAACACAGCCTTCACACAGTTCTGCCCCTCTTCTTGTACAGAGACCACTCCTTCCACCAGTAGAGCTTGTGTTCCTTCCCCTGGCAATGTGGCTGAGTTTTAAACCAGTGATTGGGGGTGGATTCTTACGCAGCAATATATAACCCAAAGTTTCAGGAATATTTATATGGACCTTTATATGTTTATAATGTCCTTATTCTCATTTTTCCTTTCTTAGTTTTTTACTAATTTATTTATTAACTTTAATTTTTTGACTCCCACCTATTATAATCCCCCCCAAGACACTCTGTTTCCTCTCTTTCTGTTGATGATTCTTTTCATTTACAGTTGTGTTATTTCTAAATTGTAAGAACACTTAAGATTATTATACTTTTTTTCTATCCTCATTACACTTTTCTTTAGTTATATTTTTAATTTAAATATGTTTAGTCCTTGACTAGTTCCTTAACCGGGCCGGTTTTCACCTAATCATCCCATTTCTTGCTGTGTGTAGGACAAATCAGCATTCAACTTCTGACAAAAATTCACAGGTATCCTTGACACCACTGATTCAGTAACACATAATATATTCCATTTTTTTTGCAGAATACCTGGTGATGAATCATACAATGAGTAATCACAGGTGTTCGACACCTTACGTTTTCAAAGACATTTTATACATTTTTCTAAGACTTTTTATGTTCTGCATATATTTTCACCGCCATCTTTTGTAATACACAGATTCAGCTTCACATTGTACTGAATCAGTGTTTCCTCAACTTCTTTGAAAATATTGTCAATTGTAGTTATAAAATAGACTCTTCATTAATGCTACTTTTTCAGTCATTTCAACCTTGGCATTGACTCCTGGAATAAACAACAAGGTAGTGTTGGTAATATCCATTGACTCATAAAGGGCCAAGAAAGGTCACTTGAAATTATTTGTCTTGGTTTTTATTGACTAATGATAATACTTCCAGTATCATTAGCTCATCAAACAACTGTTCTCACTAAAAGACTAATAGTCTTTAAAAAGACCACTTTAAACACATTTCTTCAATGGCTGCAACCAAACATAATTTTCGATAATTCAACATGGAAACACTGCTTTCCCTGCTTGACTGGCAAAAGAATCACTCAGAAAATTACTAAGTTTTCTGAATGCTGCTTTTCTGTGAGGTGGAAAGAGTGGGTTGAATGTATAATCTGGTAATGTTGGTGTATATTGTATTATTTTAGCCCAAGTATAGTGTCATTACATAATAAACACAATGTTTACCATCTATTTTAATAAGAAAATAGTGCATACTCCATAATGCCTTAAAATTATGAGACTCAAAGTTTACTTTTTTCATCTTTTCTTCTTTTGACCTAATGGGACCTTTAGTTTCCCCATTATGTGATGATCTTGTTTGTCACTTTTCAGAGTTCTGTATTGTGTTTTTCACTTTCTTCATGTGCTCTGTTTCTAAGGATTTTTATTTATGTTCCATCACTCATGAGCTGAGAGCATGCACTCGTTCTCTGCTTCTCTTTTCCGTTCAGTATATGTTGTGATATCGATATCAACTCTGCTGATTTCAAAATACATATTTCCCTATGTAAATGTGATTTGAAGTTTGCAGTACTATGGAGATAATCCAGCATTGTTTGACTCTTCATTTCTCTATTATCTTTACATGAATTAGGTTTATTACTCACAGACAATTGCTTCTCTGAATCAATTATTTTATAAAGTGATACAAAATGGTGATTTTCAAATTTCATCAATTTTCCCCACACTTCTTAGTTGGCCCTATTTTCTAAGGAAGAGTTTTCTATCACGAAACACAGCTATTTGTTTTTGAAATACTATTCCTATTGAAAATCAGGATAAAATTTTACTTTTTCCTTGCTTATTTCTCCAGCCCCTTCAGCATAAGAAAGTGATCTGACAATCATTCAACCTCTTTGATTATGTTTAGCTCTTTTATGTGCGACTTTCTTAAATCACTTGATTCGTCTGGGACTGGTAGATATTGTGTCTCCTTCAGTTGTTTTGACCGCCCTCAAAACTTTGTGTTTTCTCTAGTTTTTGCTTCAAGGAAGTTGTGTCTTTCATTTGTGGCACAGGGAGCATTAACCTTTTGTATGTGCTTTGCATACTTTAGATTTTTAAATGTCTCTCTTTGGTCTGGATCTGCCTTGGCTTGTATCAAAATCATATTCCTTGCATTGGTTTTTGTTTGCCTTTGTCTGTCTTTTCACCTTTTTTAAATCACTTTGCTTAAGTGCAGAGAATATTGAGTGGAATTTTGTCAATGATAAAAACGAAAAGCCTTTTTTCTTTTATAAACTTATATTCATTGTTGTGGCAAATATTTAAAATACAGGTTTTCTTGCTTCAGATGCATGTGTGCGCGTGCATGTGTGCGTGCGTGTGTGTAAACTGTTGTGATGCATCCATCTCCGTGTTACTGGTGCCATGGAGAGTCTAGTATTAGGTTCGTACCTGACAAACACTTGGGGAGCAGAGGAGTGGATGTTTAGGATCATGCATTTTCGTCTCAGGTGAACCCGAGCCTTGCCACTTCCTAGCTATACAATCTTGAGAAAGTCATGGAGTCTTTTTTTTTTTAGTTCATCTGATAAATTGAGATATTACCACCTGCTTTACAGTGTTGTTGAAAAAGTTGCCTGCAGTCCTGCTTATAAAATCACGGTGCTGGCACGTTTGAAGTGATCAAGAGACGAGATACACAAGTTTGCTCACATCCTGCCCTGTCAGGTCCCAAAACCAATGTTGCTGGGATCCAACCCATGTTTTGCTTTAAGTGAAATTCCTTGACGTACCTAAGCCTTTTAATTTCTTCAAAGAAAACCACGGTACACGGTTAATTCAAAGTTTATTTTTAAAACATTTGAATGAATGAAGTCTTTCACCTGAAAAGTGAATGGAATATTTGATCTTTGATAGAGATATCCCTGAGGCATGTAGAGGAGAGAAAATGTATTAATCCTTTCTTTCTCAGGTAGATTAAATTCTTACTATGAATACAAAGCTCTTACCCTATTGAGTTATCCACTGCAGTGTGTAGTTTGGAGGAGACCCATCTGAGGAGAGTTTTTCAATTATAACCTAACCGGGGAATTTTTTTTACAGCAGGATTAAAATAGATGGGAGAGGTGACATAATAAAGAATGACTGAGAGTTTCTGCAGGTAGAATAGTCAGAGGACATTGTCCAGAAGTGCCTGAGTGATGGGAAGAATGAACTAGACCCCAGGGAAACAAGCGTTCCAGGCAAAGGGAGGAGCACACGTAAATGTGTGATGTGGAAAGAGACTTCTGTTCAGAGTACAAACTAGCTTACGTGCCTGGGAGTGTAGTGAGTAAAAGAGGAGAGGATTTCAAGATAAGGTCAGATTTTATTTACTTATTTTTATTGTTTTCACTTTTAATCCAGGCCAGGAAAGTTGATTTTTATCTTAAGCCTTTGGAGTATTTTAAACAGAGTAGTGACACTGTCACCTTTAAATGCTTTTTAGAAGATCACTCTGGCTCCTTGTGTGGAGAAAGCATTTTAAAGAGGATGTAAAAAGAGGATTTAGGTGACTGTTCCATTCAAGGATTATAAGGATTTGGAGCAGTGTGGGGTTCAAGAAAGTAGACGCATCTGGATGCATTTTATACGTTAAATGGACGGGGATCAATGGATTGAAAGTGAGGAAACAAAAATCAGAGCTAACTCTAGAATTGGGGGCTTCAGCAATTGAATTGCTAATGGTGACATTTATAGATCTGGA